CATGTATTTCTACGACTTGCAGTCATCACTTTCGAAAATAGCTCTTCCTAATTCATGCCGAGATTTTGAGGGTTGGGAAATGCACTTTGTTACTATATACTAGTTAACTTTATAAGATGCAGCACGACCAGGATTTCATGAACTTTACTCTAGAAGGAGTATCTAATTCAATAAAATATACATGATATAAACATGACATTGTGTTAGTACGAGCACTAACCTCTCAATCTGGGTGTTTTGTCAACCCAGTCGCCTACAATGGCACCAAATAGCAGATAGGAACTGGACGAGCTCAATCCATAGATCGCTGTTAGCTGTAAAGATCTGGCGGCTATCTCAATCAAAAATAAACCAACACCAAACGACCACATTCGGTCTCCCTAAAATGTAAAGAACATGAATAACCTTTTGGCAGTTCCAGTTCAGTTCATTAGAAACATTAAAAGTATTAAGAATGTATTGAGAACGACGGCATCTTCACCACATTGCGAGTATGTACGTTGTATGATTCGTGTTATGTTTGTTATCGGAATATTTTTATCGAGATAGTTAGATTGTTAGTGAGGCTAGCCTAAGGACTATGGTGCTCTCAGATGCTGGACAATAAGACCTACCCATGCCGAGAGGAAATGACTGCAATACACAAAGAAGTTGGTCCCCGTCAGCCATTTTTTACAACTTCCTGAAAAACAAAGAACATGAATATGTTGTAAGATGAAATCACAATCATATGCAAAAGTTGCTTCATTTAACCATTGTCAATTGTGATTCTCAACACCAGACATGTTAAAAGATTTGAAAATAGCCCCTCCTTCCGTAGCAATGGCACTGGATTTAGAATTAATTGCATTCTGTTCTTTAGTATTCTTTATATATTCATAAATAATACGAATATTACACATTCTTGCACAAGTTAAGATTAAAAAGTGTAACATTTACAAAGAAAGCATTTAATCACACATAATTCTACAACAAATATATCCGGAAATGTCGTTTTTAAAACTTTAATTCCATTCAAGGCCTTTAAGAAATATGGTGTGTTTTAAAGAAAAAAATACTTTTGTTTGTGTATTATGGAGTATAATAAAATGTATTATTCAATGAGACACATTCTTACTACCACTCTTTTCATATATACAATTTCATCTATTGCTTGTTAATAAGGATTGGTGTGATTTACATAGTCAGTTCCTCGGTTTATCGAAGTGGTGACCACTGCATTTCTGATTTCAATGATTTATGACTTGTTAATAAGTAAACGAACAAAAATGTTTCCATAAAAAGGTCGATATTTTCATACAGAATTCTGTTTTTGTATTAAATATTTGATCAACATTTCACCTCTTTCACGTGGTCGAATACTTACTTAGGATATCAACAACCTCCCGTGATTCAGTCTCTACTAAGGATACTGTATCCTGTACTTCATATCCATTCAGTCCGTTTTCGATTTGGGTAACTTCCGAAAAGTCCACATCTTCGAAATATGCTGCATTTTCTATTCCGTCACCACCGTGTATGTCGGTGACATTGGCGTCAAACAAGGTTGTCATTTTAGCCCTAACTTCTTAAAGTAAATAATGAATATACTTGGCAAACAATCACCATACAGAGTTTAATTGCTCATGACTTCGTCGTTTCTTTTGTTTAAACTCGAATGATATTTTAATTCAACACTTTCGCCTTAAATCTCTAAGTCAATTTCTCGTCTTGTTGGTGTCGTGCGCTACGTGACCAATCTTCCTATAGACCTCTTTAGGTACATAATAAAATGAGTCCGAAACTGTCAACCATTATCTGACCGAGACAGTAGTTATGGTGAACTGCCTAATTAAGGAAGCTTGTTATTAAATTTACTATTTCCGACAGACCGAAAACGACCATAAGACTCGCGTGACACCCGCTTTCACGATTTACCTTCATTTCGTAATGTGATATCGATGTTTAAAAGAAGAATGTGAGCCCCAATAAAATCATAAAGCGTGTTGAAATATTAATCGTCTAAAAAGAATTCTGTAACAATTTAGCACATACATATCCGAAGAAAAACTTGGCTTGCAAATGACCTGACACAAATGAAATTTTGCTATATGCAGAAAATGGTACCATATTGACAAAGTCAGGGGTCCGCATAAGAAACAGTTATAATTTAATGAACTAAAGCCTAAAAGACACACAAGACCGATCAAAGCCTACAAAAAAGACTTTCAATCGAAATGAATGAAAGGGATCGAACAAAAGCCTACTAAATGTATCAATTTAAATCCAAAATGAAGAGAGGTGCAATCCACAAATGAATACGACAATAACAGACAATCCTGAATTATAATTGAATTCAAATATATCAAAATTATATTAGTTTTAATTATATCGAGAATTATAATAATTTTATAATTGAATTCAAATATGTCCAGGATTACAAATGAATAGAAATATATCTAGAATTATAATTGAATTCAAACTTTCTGAGAATTATTCTTGATACTCACGAAATTTGTCCTTTGAACTTTTCTGTGATTTTTCCGTGTCATCATTAAATCTGGACGCCCGTTTCCATGTTTCATTGACCTTGGAATTATCTGGATCAAATGCTTTATTTTCTATCCCCTTAACGTTATTTAGATCTCTAACTGCGGCGTCAGACAAGGTTGACATCGTTTTCTTTACGTTTCAAACTAAATCTTTTATAACCTTTACAATTTGAACCAGTTTTCACGACTCGGTGCCTCAATTGATGCGATTGTTAAAGTTGAAGAGACGGATATTTTAAAAATGTGTGAGCAAACAATGTGCAATGGCTCTATTTAAATATGTATTAGATTTTTTTTAAATTCACTTTCAAGTTGTAATTTAACTTAAAGGTCTATTACCAAAAGAGCAACAGAAAACTAAATCTTGAATCTACGTCAGAAGTTTCCTTCATGTACACAAAACCGCATTTTCAATTTTTTTTTCACACAAGGAATATTTTGATCCCAATATGACCACAGACAATCAGTTGTGCCAAGTGCAGTAAGTATTCGTTAACAACGTCACGCAAGAAACAGAGGGGCCACAAAATGAAGACAATCGTACTTTAAATGTAATGAATATCAAAAGATAACGATGACCTAGGAACAAAATAACTAAAATTTTAGTATACATTGCACGAAATCTAGAGTAAAAGCACACGGTAATTTTTCTTTTTTCCAAATCGTTCGGTTTAAATTGAGCCACATTTAAATAATTTTGACAAAAATAGGCGGCATAAATACAGTTAAAAGTATATATTTTGTATTTCAAATAAAATTGTCTTCTAATGTATCTCACTGTGAAGAACCAATTGAAGGCAGTAGTACAATCTAAGTTATAATAAGGCACAGGGGTTTGGTGGATCTAAATTATACATAGGCCTACGTTATTTAGATCTCTAACTGCGGCGTCAGACAAGGTTGACATCGTTTTCTTTACCTTTCAAACTAAATCTTTTATAACCTTTACAATTTGAACCAGTTTTCACGACTCGGTGCCTCAATTGATGCGATTGTTAAAGTTGAAGAGACGGATATTTTAAAAATGTGTGAGCAAACAATGTGCAATGGCTCTATTTAAATATGTATTAGTTTTTTTTTTAAATTCACTTTCAAGTTGTAATTTAACTTAAAGGTCTATTACCAAAAGAGCAACAGAAAACTAAATCTTGAATCTACGTCAGAAGTTTCCTTCATGTACACAAAACCGCATTTTCAATTTTTTTTTCACACAAGGAATATTTTGATCCCAATATGACCACAGACAATCAGTTGTGCCAAGTGCAGTAAGTATTCGTTAACAACGTCACGCAAGAAACAGAGGGGCCACAAAATGAAGACAATCGTACTTTAAATGTAATGAATATCANAAGATAACGATGACCTAGGAACAAAATAACTAAGATTTTAGTATACATTGCACGAAATCTAGAGTAAAAGCA